GGTGAACAGCCCTCAGCAGCCCCAGGGAGAGGAGATGGGACCTAAAACTGCACTTCTGTTTTCTTTTTGAGTCAGGGTCTTACTCTGTAGCCTAGACTGACTTCAAATTCTCCATCCTCCTGCCTCAGTCTCCCAAGTGTTGGAATTACAGGTGTTTACCACTTTGCCCAGGCTGGCCAGTGGTTCTGTTCATTTTCAGGGTGTGTCCGATCCATTTCTAAAGTGTCTGTCGGGGCATGGTGATGCCCGCTGCCATGGAGTTACCCCTGTAGCTATGGTAGCTGAGCCCCCACTGATGGCCCTGCCTCTCTCTTTTCCAGTCACTCTCATCGAGGAGCTGCACTGCGCAGGCCCAGCCAAGGCCTTGAGGAAGCTGCATGGGAAACGTCTGGGCCAGCTGCAGCCACTGCCCCAGACTCTTCAAGCTTGGGCATTGCTGCAGCTGGATGGATCCCCGAGGGTGTGCAGGGCTGCCAGAGCACGCCTGGCCAGTGCGGCCAGGAACAGGCGTTTCCGGGAAAAGGTGTGGTGCACGCACGGGCATTCTGGCTGGGTGTGCAAGAGTATGAAGTGGATGATGGGGTCACACACACCAGATTGGAGGTTAAAGTGCTTTAAGAAGCTTGATCGTGGGGCTGCAGTCACAAGGGCAGAGGGTCTCAACCTTCCTAACACTGGGACCCTTTATACGGTTCCTCATGGCGTGGTGACCCCTAACCATAAAATTAACTAATTGCTACTTTCATATCTGTAATTTTGCTACTGTTATGAGTTAGTTGTAATGTAAATATCTAGCATGGGACCCCAGAGGGGCTTGAGACCAACTGGTTGAAGGATATAACCAGCACCACCCTACATCCTGGACTTGGCCTCTCAGTTCTACACATTTATTTATTTATTTATTTACTGTGAGTCCTTAAAAATCTAATATTTATTGATTGACTGGTTGTGAGTTCCATGTGCCACAGCACGAGTCTGGAGGTCAGAGGACAATCTGAGGGAGTCAGTTTTCTCCCTCTACGATATGGGTTCCAAGGTTGAAATTCAGGTGGAGCTGGTGTAATGACTAATGCCTTTAATCCCAGCACCTGGGAGGCAGAGGCAGGTAAATCTCTGAGAGTTCGAGGCCAGCCTGGTCTATAGAGTGTGTTCTAGGACAGCCAGGGCCACACAGAGAAATCCTGTCTTGGAAAACAAAACCTAAAAAGCTTTGCAGAGTTCCCTTACTAAGCCAGCTAGTGAACAATCTTGGGTTAGCCCACCTCTTGACAATACACCTGGCCAAAGATTGACAGGTCTCACCCCAAATTTTGTTTAGAGAAGGGCCGAGTTTGGGTCACTGCAGCATTTGCAGTGTGTTCGGCCCAGCTGGGGACCTGCCTGCCCTGACCTCTCTGTCCAATCCTGGTGTCTTCCCCCAGGCTCTGCTGTACTACACCAACGCCTTAAACGACAGTGATGCCACGCTCCAGCAGGCAGCGTGCATGGCGCTGCAGCAGCTTGGGGTGAGTCCCCATCTTCTCTAGTGGTGAGAGCTGAAGCAGCAGCAGCAGCTTCAAAATGTTTTCCCTGGAACGGGATGGGAGTGGTGGAGGGAACCACTAGCAGCCAGAGGACCCTAGTAACAGTCGAGATTCCCCCACCAAGGGACTCCCTGCCCAGTTCAACATGTTTTAACTATAATAAATTCTAGTGAATGAGAAAAAGACAATACGGAAATGTGAAAGCTGCCTGTCACCCTAACCCTCGGCAGAAGTGACTGGCTATCTCTGGCACATTTCCTTTTTGCTTGCAGGGACACCAGCACCCTGAAGAATTGATTAATATTAAACATGACTTTACAGTGAGCCAAGGGCTATGTGCTTACAAGCATGAGGGAGTGAGTGGAATCCCCAGAACTCCAGAAAAAGTCCCCAAGTGGTGGCACAGGCTTGTGATTCCAGTGCAGGGGAGGTAGAAGCAGGGAATTCCAGGGTTAGCTGGTCACCCAGCCAGCATAGCTCATTTGTGAGCTCCAGGCTTGGAGAGAACCTGTCTCAAAACATGGTGTGGATGGCACCTGTACACTCTAATTTTGTTCATGTGTGTGAAGGTGTTTTGTGTGTGTGTGTGCACATGAGTACTACAGAAAAATGCAGTTTTCATGCATTGGGGGTAAAGGACAGCCAGGTGTGGTGCACATACCCATGACCCAGGGCCAGCCTGGGCTTCAGAGTGAGACCCTCTCATAAAAAAACTTTATACATGCCACCATCAGCATCTTTGTAAATAAGGTTTTATAAAAGGCCACACTGTGTTCCCGCTCATCTTGCTGGGGTAGAGGCCACAGGGTTGCTTCAGGGCCTGTGAGCCATGCCTTGCCCACACTCCCACAGTGGAGGTGAGGGGATAGTGTTAGTTGACCTACACCCATGCTGGGAATCCACCTTGTCTAACCCTGTTGCTCATTTGTGCATGGGAGTTGGCTCAACATAGAGGAAACCCACCAGGAGGTCCTCGGAGGAGCACCTGCTGAGGTTCAGGTGCTGGAAAAAGGGGTCAGAGGTCCTGTGGGAGAGCTGTTTGTGGATGTGTGGCAATCAGGCCCTGGTTCTCCAGGGAGGAGGGCAGTCAGGGCTCAGCAAGTCCCAGAAGGCGGCAGGGTTTGTGAGATAGTGTCGGCAGGTAAGCTGATGGTCAGGTCTGCACTGGGGTGTGGGAGACTTCCAAAGGTGTCACTGAAGGACCAGAGACAAAGGAACAAGGCCGGAGGCCTCTAGACCATGCCAGGGTTGGGATGACACAGTTAGGTCTCTCTGCGGCTTGACAAGCCCCTTTCCTCCTGACCTCACAGGGTGTGGAAAGTGTGGAACACATCGCCAGCCTGTGTCGGTCTGACCTGGAGGCCGTGCGAGTGTCGGCGAGGGAGGCAACACTGTCGTTTGGTAACATGAAGCCAAAGGGACGGTGTAGCACAGTGGGGGCCCAGGGTTCTAGTGAAGACCGGTGAGGAGAGACCGCCTCAGCTGTCAAAGCCAGGCTGCGAGGGCCCCTGCACAGTACAGGGTCCCTTCACAGCAGGTTCACAGACAGGGTGTAACCTTTTATTTTTATACTGTTTATGACCCTTGGCAAATGAAGGCAGTGGCAAAGCCAGGCTAGTGCCCAATGGACCTCTGACATAGAAGGCTGTTTTAGCTTCAGTCAACAGCAGGGGCAGGGGGCTCCCCAACCACTACTGCCCTGCCCCTCTAGAGATAAAAGAGCGGGCACAAAGCAGAATAGTGACAGACACCTTTGTGTTCCAGGTGAGAAAGGCCGCCTAGCTTTCGAGAAGATGGACAAACTCCAGTCAGAACAAGAAATCTACCAGGAAGCAGATGTTGAAATCACAATTTTCTAAGAAGCTGTGGCCAGTGAGCTCCAATCCAGCACCTTTCTTCCTCGATGCTGCCCAGCGTCCATAGTGCCCAAGTCTTGGATTGAGCACTTAGGCGCTCCCTCACAAGTGTGAGCTGGTCAGGATGGCTGCCTGAGGTTTGACTCAGTACCCAGCCCAAGGGCACAGTGGTGTATTCACAGAGCAGGAAGAAGTGTTGTGTGGGACCTCCAAGGCTGTAGCCTCCCCCAAATGCTGTTCTTGCCTGTCTTGCCTTCCTGGGGTGCAGTGTCAGGGTCAGCTAGCGCTGGCTGAGATGAGGGTCTAAGACAAGGTGAGCTCTGAGACAGACATGCTTGGAATGTGCACTCCCTGCACACCCTGGACTGGGGCAGAACTGGTCTGATAAACACGGGTTGAGACAGTCTCACTTCCGGCACATGACAACCTGCGGCCCATTAGATGAATTGCTTCAGAAGCCAGAGCTGAGGTGAGGTTTTCACTGAGGTAGCTATGGAGTCACACGATGGGTTTCCTACTTGAGTGGAAAACGTGAGTCTGAGATGTCCATGAGGAGTGGCGTGGCTCTCAGGGCTGACTTAGACACCCCCATTTGGAGTCATGTGGACCACGTGTGCTGACTTATCTTGGTATTTATTTGCCTCATTCACGTCCATTTTCTGAAATCTCAATTAAAAACTCTGTAGTCTATGTTCCCTTACTGCCCAAGTACATAAGGTTGTGTTCACATAGCCACACGGGAGAGGGTGACCAGGGCCCATCGGGGATCCTGCCCACACTCTTGATTCCCATCATGGCGGGCTGCCCTCCTCTGGGGACACTTTGAGGACACCCCAGGCCTTTGCCAAGCCTTAACCCCATTGGATTTGTCCCAGTTACATACCACGCTTGTGTTCTCTGTGAAAGTTCAGACACAATTTTTCACAGCTGAAGCTTTCAGCTGGACAGTGGGCATGGCACTTCCATGGTTTTCTGGCTTCAGTACCTCAGTGGGGGCCACATACTGCACAAGCAATGGGAATCCCTGAGAGGTCCAGGGCTGTGTTTGCTTTCTATAGAACAGGCAGGCATCGAACTCAAGGGATCCCCCTGCCTCTGCATTCCTAGTGCTGGGATTAGAGGTGTGCGTCACCACCGTAAGGCTGTGCTTCCTACATCTGTCATTGAACGAGTCTGAAGTGACTTTGAAATAGTCACCTGGGGATCCTACATGCTTAGTCTTGTACATGAGCGGGAGGTCATGCTCCTTTTGGGGTCTCATTTCCATTTCTGTCGAGTATACGTAAGTGTGGCTTCATGGGTGCCCCCGAGATAGGATGACCATGCGTGTGATGGGCAGCTGGACAAGGCCAGGTTTGGAAACAGGGATTCCAGTGACATCCGTGAGTCTTGTTAAAGTAATCCAAGGCGCCAACGGGTGGGTTCCTGAAAGAACAGTGGAGGCCCCGAGGACCCCAAAGCTCTGCAGCAAAGGCAAGCTGGCCAACCACTGGCACACACAACCCAGGACATGCTAACCCTGCAGGGCAGACGTCTACTTCACGCTGGCAGGGAAGGACAGATGGCTGCCCATCCTGGCTCAGGTTCATCAGGTAAAGAAATGGGAAGCATTTCACACCTATGTTCTTTAAAAACATTTATTGTTGCAACTAAAATGCAGACCCATCAGTGACACAGCAAGTTGGAAGCGGTGCAGTCCAACAGCTCTGTGAGGTCACAGAAGACCCTGAGACACCCCCACCGGGGCATGCACCACCCACACACCTGCAAAGGTACAATACCCGAACACTTTTTTGTTGTTGGTTTTTATTTTTATAAAAATGGTTTATTCCATGGCCATTAAAAAACAAAAACAAAAACAAAAACGACCTGCTGAGTAAATATTGGCTTAAGGCATACAGCAGCTTGCTACCTCCAACACAGGCAACGGGGCGGAGAGTGCCTGTTCTCCAGGACACCCACCTAGAAGGCTACTGTACACACCCCACTACTACAGACACAGCCCACAGCTAACTGCTCCCAGCCTGGACCCTGGCTGTGCCACCTTCCCAGGCTCTGCGGGCAAGGCCACCACCATTCCTTCCCACCAGTGGCTCTGTGCTGGCTTCTCCGGGTGAAAGGCAAAATGTGAAATGCTGGCAAGAGGCAGTTGGAGTTCCAGCTGCCTTCGCTTCTTATTTTAAAAAAGCCACCCAATGTGGAGGTCTTAAGTACTCTCACAGGAAGAGTCATAAGCACCATCGTCAGTCTCTGCCAGGCTCAAGAGTGGCACACCTCTGGGCAAGGTGACCTGGGCCAGTGATGACAGCAGGCTGATTCTAAGGACTGCCACCCAGGCTGTTCCCAGGAGAGTGCTTCCCACAAGCTGCCGTCTTTCAATCCTGGCTTGCTCCAGAAGAGTGTGCACTTGGAATGGAGGGACTGATTCCAGAGGTGGAAGGGCCCTGCTTGCCTAAGTGTCCAGGGAATGAGCTGTGACTGGAATGTCTGCGGTGTGGTGGGGCTCGGTGGGGCAGGCCAGGGAGCCTGGAGTGTCCTACCAGGAGTGAGGCAGTGTCTGCACTGGACAGCAATGCCCCCACACACAACGCTGGTTACTCAGCAGTGGCCACGTCTGGTCAGAGGATGCAGAGATGGTTGGACACGGGCTGTCAATGAGTGCACATCTAAGTCCCCCAGGTCAAGCACATGGCACCACCAGGGCAGGAGACTTCCTGTTTTCTAACTCACAGGGAAAGCAGAGGCTAGGAACAGGATCTACAAGGTCATGGGGAGAAAGCCCAGCTCTCGTCCACACACATCACATCAGTAGCCACAGGGCCTTTACACACCACACTACCCCATTTCCTGAAGATTGCCCCCATCACCCTACAGCTGCTGCTCCTGGCCCCAGTCCTGGCTGCACAGTGGCTCCTGTCCGTCGTGCATCCCGGCTCAACCCCAGGACCGATCTGATACTGTAGTTGACAGAGCCTTGGGTACCAGGCTGACATGTTACATTATCAGTTTAAGGACATGCTCATGCAGCGGGGACACCTTTGGAGAGGTGAATAAATACGAGTGGAGCAGTTTCTAGAGAGGGTGCGGGGCCTCGGGCTGCTATGAGCCAGTGCCCTGTTTCTGCCATCCCTTGCACTCCTCACAATGGTCGTGGGGTTGGTACTCCAGGGGAGGAAGCAGAAGGGTAAAGCAGAAAGGGAGATGCACACAGCTGAAGGAGGAGTTGGCTCTGTCTGAACAAGCATCCTCTGCAGCTTGCTCTGGGCCACTGTGGCCCTTCCTTCCTTTCCTGGCATGGCCACTGTGGCCTGCAGCTGAGGCTGGAGGGCAAGCTGTGCTGCTGGATAGCAACCTCATGAAAACACGTGCCTTGGATGCAACTACAGTGCCTACCTCTCCACAGCCTCAGCCACACCAGTACTGGAGGCAGGCGTGGCAGGCAAGCGTGCTCAGTGGTGTTTTATGAGTCCTGCCTCTGAAAATCACCACTCAGGAAAGTCTTTGCACTTTGCAAATATTATCTGATGCCGTCAAGGATATTCACTGGGACAGGACTGAATGTTTCACAGGTTGGTAACAGTCCCGCAAAGTGGCTTCCATGACACCAAGGCTCCTTCTAACAGTCATGCTTGCACCTTAGCGGTGTGGGTTCTACCACAGTGGTGCTTACTTTCCAAGTGAAATGGAAACCGCAGGATGAGTGCTGGCAGCCATCTAAGGGGAACTTGACCCTGAGACAGGGCCCTCGGGGAAACCCATTAATGGGGTGGGATGGTGAGGGCTGGGACATCAGCAAGATGGCTGTCACAGGGACGGGCGGGCGGGGTGCAGATGAGGATGGAAATGCAGCAGGGACACCTGAGCGAGCAGAGCTGGGCTTGCTGTTTAGAGCCAGCCTGTGCAGTTGCTCTCCTCCCAACAGGGTGGCTTCAGGGCACCTGCCAGCTCAGGGTACACAATGGGGGCTGTCCAAGCCAGCAGGAACTTTACATTCCTGACCGTTTGGGATCCTTCCCCTGGGAAATCACTGTAAATTATGGATCTGATCTTACGCTAAAGGGCACAACAGAATCTCATCAGTGCCTAGCGTCTTTTTTTTTCTTCCAGAAATAACAAAAACCTGCCTTTATAAATGTTAAAAACAACAATGTGTTGTAATTTTTTTTCCCCAAAAACAAACGAACAGAGAAAGAAGGGGGGAGGAGTGAGGTGAGAGCGAGTGAGTGAGAGTATTTGGCATTTCCTCCACTTCTCCTCAACAGGTTAAGGCCCTGAGATTAGACTGTTCTTGGGACCATGGGGCTCCTGCAAAGCCCAGTGCACTGATGCCCCTCCTGGGGCTGGCCCTTCCAGTTCCACCGCAGCCTTGCGAGCTGTTCCCCTACACTGGGTCAGACGCCGCAGACCGCATCCTAAGCTGGGCAGCGCAGTGCCCACCACACTCACGCCTCACAGCAGTCCGTCAGTGAAAACATACCCGGTAGCAGAGGTATGCACCGGTCGCCAGGACCGTGGCCATGCACACATTGACCAGGAAGGGCTTCCAGTGAGTCGGCCAGTGTGCCTTTTGTTCCTCCTCCGTTGTGGACAGCTCTTCCTTGGTGGGAACAGATGCCTGGGCACCTTGATGACCCCCGCCCACCATCCGTTTTCTAACTTCAGTGTCTTGACTCATGCTGGGGAGAGGGAAAGAGGGGGTTATTTATTCACCTTGAGAGGATGGACATGGGTACCATCACTGTGGAAGAATTCTGGAGAAACAAGCCCTGCCCGCTGTGCTGGAGGGGGGGAGGCCACACAGCCAGCAGCCCGCTTGTCTTCCTGCCCCTGGGGACCTTGCAATTCTTGCAGCCAGGGCTGGGTTTCATTCAAAGATCAAGTCAGCCAGCAGCCCACAGTGTATGTGCTTTATCAGGAATGGAAACTCCCGGCTCTAGCCAAAGATGCACTCAGCTCCATATCCCAGTTGCAGGAAACATGGCTTTCTTAGTCTCGGCACACTGATAGCTCTGTGACCAAGGATGTTAAATGAGGGCAGCTAGCCATGCCTCTACACACTGTGTTCAGAGCTCTCGGTGGGTCCTACTGAGAGCCAGACTGGGTATACCCTCACCTCAAAACTGCCTTCTAGGAAGGAGACAATTGTCTCAGGAGCTGCCTCACTCCTACTGGGGTTACCACAGCGCTACTTCCTGCAGGCACATGCTTTTCCTGCTCTACCACGTAACGCAATGAGCACGCCCCTTTCCAAAAGGAGGGTCAGCAGCACAGCTCCCGGGCACGCTCTACTATCATCTCAGTAATCACAGGCATCAGTGGGTGTCAACAATGCTTGCACCTGTAACACCTGCCCGCCCAGTCTCAGCACTAAGCAGATCAGATCAGCACCACAAGGTGGCACTGGAACCCATTACAACCTATCATTGCACAGGCACCTCCAGGGGCAATGGGCACTTTCTGCCAGGATAGGGCAGTACCATTTCTCATGCATGCACAAACACCTCTTGTACCTTGAGGTTTTCAGTGCCTGCGCGTGTTTATGGACAGCAGGCTACTTCTTTTTACCCCCACCGCCCCCAGCCAGGCCCTCCATCACCTGTCCGTGCTGTGCATGGCACTTGAGGGGCCTCTGCCTTCCTCTCTGGCCAGGCTGTCTTCACTCTCACACGTCTCCTCGCTCACCCACTGGTGGTTGGAGAAGAGTTCCTTGCATTTCCCATTGTGAGGCTCCAGGATACGTTTCGGTGGCCGGGGAGGCGGGGGGACATGCTCAGGTGGGGGCTCCAGATCCTCGTGGGAGAGCTCCTTCCACTGATCCTGGGAAGCACAGCAGCAGAAGCCCATTAGCCCTCGCTCTGCGTCTCCCCAGGTGAGCAGCCCATTATTTGGAAGGTAAACTTGTTCTCCGTGAGGTAGGGTCTCAGGTGGCCTGGCAGGCCATGGACCCCTGCTGTCTCCAAAGGGCTGGGACCACACACTGCACCAAGGTGTGGTTTTTAGGGAACCAAGCAATTTGCTCTTCTGCTCAGGCTCTGCAGAGTAGCTGGCAGCAGAAGGGAACTACTCCCTTTGGCCTCTAAGCACTGGAGCTCCTTGCAAAGCTCAGAGCCTTGATGGGCATGCACAGGCTCTGTGGTCCATCCCCAGCTAGGAACCGAGTCCCGACAGCAGCACACACATGCTAAGCAGGGCAGCACTAACCTGCACTGAGGAGTCGCCCATGATAAACTTCGCTCCCTCGATCACAGCCAGGTAGGAGAAGCGCAGCTGGTCGGCTGTCTGGATGAGCCCCATGCGGAACCTGCGCATCTCCAGAAGCACTTTTTTGATATCCACAGAAGAGGGGTCTTTCCTCTTGTCCATCTGCAAGGCAGGGAGACTGGGTCAGCCAGAGGAAAGCCACAGAGGAGTGGTAGAGGGGCTCAAGGAAATGGGAGGAAAATGCAGCAAACCCGGGACCCTTTGGACCAAGTTGAAAGAACTTAGAAAAGAGCTGAGGGACTTTTAGGCTGCCTGGCTCCTGTGACAATGGGGTGCACCCTGTGAACAAAGCTAGAAGGCAAAGGCCACACAGAGAATCCCCCAAGGAAGGGTGCCCATGGACAGTGACAGCAACTGCAGCCAGCAGGGTGGGTTCAAGCATGCTTCCTTTCTTCCTGGGCTTGCAAAGCCTCCTCACCAGCAAGAGGCAGGTGTCAGCCAGACAGAAGGTCCCCGACCTGCCGATGCCAGCACTGCAGTGTACCACGATGGGGCCATGCTCCGAGCTGAGTGAGCCTGACTCTCGGACTTTGAAAAGGAAATTGAGGAAGGAGGCAGGTGATTCAGGGACTCCAAAGTCAGGCCATGTGGTGTAGTGGAAATGCAGGATCTCCCGAGACTCCTGGGTCTGAAAGAGAGAGAGACCTGCAGTTAGGCTGAGGGCATCATCTGCTCAGGTCTCACATGAGCATCAAGTGTCTTCCTGTTTAGCCTTCCTCAGTGTGCACTGGCTTGATCTGGCCACAGCCTTATGCAGTGGACAATCCTCTTATCTTTCTGTCCCTTCTACACCTATGCACAGGTGGCCACAATCGTTTTAGCCTAAAAGTCATCATGATGCCACTGGCATCCTAAATCTCAGAAAGGCTTCCTGTGGGGGAGGGCAGCAGGCACAAGGTCTGGATGGCTCAGGGAGACCACTGGGATGGCTCGGGCAATTGTTACTTTGGAAGAAAATGTGATTAATTCAAGCCTCCAAAGACAGATTGCCAAGAAGGCGGCTGCCATACAAGTGCGGCATCAGCCATGACTCCAGTAGCAACTAACTGCCTATGGGTTTGCCATGCCCTCATTCACCTAAAGGACCATACCCACTTGCAGAACTGTCCCCCAGTGCCTTGCAGTTGAGCAAAAAGAATGGCTTCCAGCACTGCTTCAACTCTGCTCTTTCCTAGATGATCCAGTATTTTTACAAATACTTATTTGGGGGTGAGGGGTGCCACATGTCGTGTGCACGTCTGGAGGTCAGAAGAAACAACTTGTAGGGTCACTGGCAAGTGCCTTGACACACTGAGTTACCGTACCTGCTTCACGGTCCAGCATTCTTTCTTTTTTTAATCAAGATAGGGTTTCTCTGTAGAGCTCTGGCTGTCCTGGAATTCATTCTGTAGACCAGAGATCTACCTGCCTCTGCCTTCTGAGTGCTGGGATTGAAGGTATGCGCCACCACTACCCAGCTATAGTCCAGTATTCTTAAAGGAGGCCACTGTAGGCAAGACCCCAGAGGGCAGGTCCCCAGAACTACATAAAGGGCCAGCAGCCTTTGAGAGGACAAGATGGAGATAAAGAAGACCAGATTAGTCCTGGTGACACCAAGGTGCTGTCTGTCTATAAAGTACAGGAGGTCCCTGCTGTGGTACAAACACACGTGAAAGATATGACCACCCTCAGTATGGTTACAAGACACACAGTGTTGGACACAGCTGGGGGCCCGGCTAAAGACTCTGCAGCAGCTTTGCCCACCGCCCTGCAAAAGCAAACACTTATACTCAGTGCAGGGAGGGAGGAGCTTCAAATATATTTTAAAAACTGGTTTAGGAGAAAGCATGCAAAGAGTCTTCTTTTAATCTCTACTAAGAACATGGGGTTCCTCTTCTTCCACCCTCCTCCCACCTGCCCATCCCTTCAAAAGGACTATGTTCCAGGCCACAGAAAAGTCCTAATGTTGAAACCTTGAGCTGGCCTTATGTCTGCTATCCTAGCACTCAGGAAGCAGAGGCTGTAAATGTGAAGCCAGAATGGGCTACTAGTGAGACCTGTCTCAATACAAGCAAACCAATCCCGGAAGCAGCAACCCTAAACAAAGCCTAGCCACTCTTGCCTTTGCTCTGCCATGAACAAAGTTGTAGTGCTTGCTCTGAATTCTGTTTCCCTCAAGCAGCAGATGTTTCCCAGAGGTCATCAGAGACTACCCGTAAAGCCAGGCTGGCAAACACTGGAAAGCATTAGACAGGGTCTACCCCCCCCCCCCACGACATTCCAGAACTTCAGGGACCTCATCGCAGGCTCCTCTGCTTGGTCATGACAGGGCTTCACCCTCCTCATACTCCAGCAACCTAAGCGAAGTTCTGGAATTGGCCTTACCATGAGCATGGAGCCATGAGATAGCTAAAGATATGTCACTGTCATTCTTCAGCAGACCCCAACCCTTCCCTATGGCCCAACAAGCCTCACTCCAGTGGTCGAGTCATTACACTTCCCCCGCCGTTGCTCTCTGGATCCCACATACCTTTTAACCTCTCACCCATGACTACCCAGAACCCTTGCAAGCTCACGTCTGAAACTAGAAAAAGCAAAGACATGAGGAGATGTCCCTTGATCCTACTCTAGCAGTTAGGCAAAGCGGGCCAACAGTAGCTCTACAATGCCTGGGACCCACATGACCTCCTCAGTCACAGCTCTGTACCACGAGCAGAGAGAGCTTCTATTGCTCCTAACTATGGGGTTTTGTCATGCTCAGGACCTCCTCTTAGCAGCAAGTCTACCCAAGACCTGGTTAGAAAGTCTCAGCTGCAGGAGACATGGGCAGTGGGGTGAGCCTCCTCCTTCTGGTAGACCAGACGAGGAAGGTACAAGCTTGCTGTCACTTCTCTTGCAGGCACCGCTTCAGCCCTCCAGTCGCACAGGCAGAGCAGACCACTCTCAGCTAAGAAACTGCTTTTTCCTTTAGAACTGTGTTAACTGTGTCAAAGACGAGAGAGCGCTATAGGAGGTGCCTGTCTCCTATCCTGTGCTTCATTGGCACTGGGTATTGGCTCCTATAGCAGCAAGCCCTACGCATCACGGTGTGGAGCCACACTGTGCACAGGGCTCTCAACTCCTGGGAACACTGCAGCTGGAGGGAGCACCTGAAGACTGAAGAAGGAAGCAAGCCAACAATTTCTGGAAGACTTTGCACACGCCATACTTACCGCCAAGTTTTCCAACTCCAGCTGTCGCACTGTGTAATATGACTTGACATCTTCAGAGATCAGTGTCAATTTCAAATTTGTGTCATCAAAGACCATCTCTTTCTCTTCTTTTTGTGGCCAATACTGGGCACATTTTAACTGGGGGAAGAACAACACTAGATTACTCTACATGAGACAGGAAGGAGCCTTGGAGAGCGGCCTGCTAGCTTTATGATAACTCAGAAGCCAGGTCTCCCAGTCACTATAGCTCCTACCCTACCCCAGTAATTGTGTGGCAGGACTCACACTTCTCACCCAGCAACAGCAGCACAGCACAGAGGGCGCTGGCCCTTGCCATGAGGTAAAGCCATACCACACACAAGTTGTGCCCCTCATAGATGCCTTCAGTATGACCACAGCCCCATGATGGAGGGTTGGAGCCTTGTCAGACTGAGGGGTTGCAGTCAGCTGGCTAGAGGCGGGAGGAAAATTTGCAGGGTGCAGCTCACTTGTTCATTCCGATTTGGTTCTGTTCAGAAGGTCCTCCTGATCCTCTATTCTGCTAACTTCAGAAAACACTTGATCTTGATCCAAGTGCTGATAATTACAGCTTTTGATGAACTCAAAGATTTGGTCTGGGATTTAGGAAAGGAGATGGGGCTGGAATTATGTGACCCCTGTGAACTAGGCTCAGGTGCTTGTATGACCCTGAGGCAGGCAGCTGTTTTGGGCCTAGTCGGAGGAGACCCCAGAGACCTTGATCCTCCCCCCAAGGAATGCAGTGAACCACTCTTTGGAACAGAACACAGAACTCACACGCCTGACCTGCTGTTCCAGGGCTGGCCCAGTCTGCTGGGAGAGATGCTCCCTCTCTCGGGGTGGTTGGATGCCGAGAGGATGGAGGGGAGACACGGAGACTACACATGGCCTAGGGATTGGGAGGAGGGGATGCTTAGGCTAGTCAAGCAAAGCAGAGGTCAAAGAGGCTCTTTGGAGAGAAGCTTCTGGTGGGTGACAGGATAGTGTCTCAGGGGAAAGCAGAAGCAACGGCAAGGAGAACCAGAGCACAGTGGGGCTGGGGCAGCCCAGAGGCCTGAGACATCACCTGGGGCTGGGAGGAGCCATGGTTGAACAGAACTGCAGAGGCCTATTGGTCCTGCCTTTCTTGGGCTCAGCATTGCCCCCACCTCAACCAATATCAAAGGCAGAGAGAGCAGTACAGGAAGCAGGGGCCTTACAAGGCCAATAGGGAAGGAGCTTTCCAATCCCAGGACAGAAGCCCAGAGGGCTTTCTCAAGAGCTCGGTTTCAAGGTCTGGCCTGCTCAACCCACAACCCATCCCACCTTTGAAGATCAGCTGGAGAGGCGGGCCCCTTAGCTAGGTCCAACCTGTCAGCATGAGAGCAGATCCTGACATCCTAACACAAAGGCAAGGTGCCAATGAGAGACTTGAATGAGTCACTTATCTCCACAGTCAGACCCCAGGCGACTACGCTAGGGTGGGCACTCAACATGAGCAAGGAGAATGCCAAGGGGCTGGGCATCCTCACTTCAGAGGCAAGGCGGGCAACTCTAACCTTCACTTTCACAGCAGAAGCCCAGAGCAAGCCTGACAGATGTCTACTCTAAGCAAAACCTACGATTTCAGAGGCATTCTGGCATACAGTCAAATGTCCATCAACCAACATTTAATTAGGTGTCTATAGGAACACACTCAACTTTGTCATTTCCCATAAAAATTTCTGCTTTAAACATAGAACAAAACAAAACAGCATACAATTCCTATTTCCAGTTAGCTGGTGGCATCCACACACTGCCTTGATCGGAAGCCTGACATTTACTGGAATGTAAGCAAACCATCTCTGGTCAGAACCAAGGCCCTTTGGCCAGCCCCAGACAGGAAGGTGGCAATGTCAATATGCTGGCATCCCAAGTTTAATAGTCATTTCCACCACGAAGCCTGAAGCTCACACAACAAAGAGTCAGGCAGTCTGAGGAAGAAGCTGTGATGCTCAGTGCTGTCTCTCTGACAGGGCGACCTGTTTTCATCTCCAAAGGATGCTAATACTGACAAGTGAGCAGGTCCCAGAGCTAAGGATCCTGGACTATCAAGTGCCTGAACCCCAACTCTGGCTCCCACAGGGTTTTATGAGAGAAATAGGCTGTGTTCTGGAACACAAATTATATTCACCTAGATGCCTCCCACTGTATAAACAACAGTCCTGCGCTTAAACATAGCACAAACCATATTGTCATGTCTAAGATAAGTTTCTAATTGAACTAACAAGAACTCTGGCCACCCCTGGATCACCCCAGTCTAATGCAAACAGCCTATAGCATAGCTGGCTTCATAAGCACCAGGTCCATGTACCAAAGGCAGGCAGGTAGCTTCTCCATGTCTGAGAGGAAACAGGACAGAGCGCACATGTGTTCCAGGGCCTCTGCAACCCAGCTGTCCTGGGCTGGGGACGGCTGGAACTAGGTGAGTGGAGAAGCCCCATGCACCCTTGTACTCTACCCGCCCCAGGGTTGCTGGTGTGCACCCCACACAAAGCACTTGGTCCAATGACCCTAAGTGGGCAAAATCATTTTAAAGGACCACTGCCATGCCACCATGGGAAAGAACAACCAGCTAACCAGCTGTGCTTCCAACAGCTAACACAGGAATCTTGGGGAAGGTGGTCATGGTGGATCTACTTATGGTAAGCCCAGGGTGCTGAAAGCAAGGCCTGGTGGTAGTTATTCAACTATAGAGCAGGCACCATTCCTTATAATGTGACAACAACTGCTAATGCAAACTGATAAACTACAAGAAGCAAGCAGGACCCCTAGCAACATACTTACATGTATAAGTATGTACACAAGCATGTGTACCCTTACACACATACACAGTTAACACTGCCATACCTGGTGACTTATAAAAAAGGATTCAATATTTTATTTACTTTTTATATGTATGGGCATTTTGCTGGCACATATGTCTGTGTGCCATGTGCTTGCCTAGTACCCACGGAGGTCGAAGAGGTTGTTGGAACCCCTGGAGCCTGAATTATAGGTGGGTGTGAGCTGCTGTGGGTGCTGGGAATGGAACCTGGGACCTCTGCAAGAGCAATAAGCAGTCTTAGCCACTGCCCCATATCTGATAATTTTGTGATAATAGACTGGTTTAAAATTCCACCCTGTGGTTTTGTCAACTGACCACACTGGTGGCCTTTGCACCTGTTATTACTATGTCCTACTAAAAACAGAGGTGGAAGCCGGGCATTGGTGGTGCATGCCTTTAATCCCAGCACTCAGGGGGCAGAGACAGGCAGATCTCTGAGTTTGAAACCAGCCTGGTCTACAAGAGCTAGTTCCACAACAGCCTCCAAAGCCACAGAGAAACCCTGACTCGAAAACAAACAAACAAAAAAACAGAGGTGTAAACCACACAACAGTATGGGGTCAAGCAGCCCCAAGGAAGCTACCACAAGTGACTGGGACCCTTGTGCTCTTTGGGTGAGCACAACTTGCTTGTCCTCACTCTGTGCACCTGGGCCTACCCTCGGTGTGACAGCTGTTTCTGGAGGGGATGGAGAGATTCTTTGGCAACCTCATGTTCTTGAGAGCTTGAGGAAGCTAGAACAGCAGTGAACAGTCCCCATCTGAGCAACAGATAGCACAGCGCCTATGCCTGGCAAGGCCTGGGGACATCATGGTCTCTGTTCCTGGCTATTGCCAGTTGGTCCCACAATTCTCAGCTCATGTTTTCTAGGGACCCCAACCTCTGGAGCTGGAGAGTCTTAAGTGCCGACCACGTCCAGGGAGGGAAGAAAAGAGGCTTCTGGCTCTGCTCCATGCTGGTCTTGGACAGCACTCAAAGCCAGTCTTCAGTGCCCATCACAGGAATGGGAAGAGGAAAGGGATAGGAGGGCTGCTTGTTTGATGACGCCTAGATCTAAAACACAGCGTCACTAGCCCAAAGGACAGGGTAAGAAACAAGCCAGAGGCCTGTCTGGGCTATGGTTCGGGGAGTGAGAGAGACGGGCCCAGGTAGCTGGTCCAGCCACTCAGGGTCTGTAGGCTGCATCAATGACTACCCTTAGAGGTGAGTGTGGTGAGACCCAAGTGACACAGACCACTTTGGAAGTGTGACAAAAGGGACTGAAAGCAACAGGCTGAGGGGCAGGGGCCCTAAAGGGACAGAGCCTGAGGAGAGATGTTTCAAGAGCTGAGAACTCACAGTGCCACGTGTCCTAAAGCCAACTCACCAGCAGAGGTTATAGTGGCACATCAAATCTGGAAGCTGGTGTCCTAGTTCTGCAGAGCCAACTCTGCCTACAAGAGGCACAGTCTGGCCATGCAAAGGTCAGACACACTCCACAGGCAGTGCAAAGACAGTAGAGCCACTGAGGCAGACGGCCTGCACCAGGCTCTGCAGCGCCTGGCCTGCTGCTACTGCCTCTAGTCATACGTGACTTGTTTGTAACAAATGTGTATTTACATAATGTTTTTAAAATAAGAAGGTGTCATGTAAAGGAGTCAGGAAGCAGACACTGGGGGGAACGGGAGCTTTATGGACTATGCATGCAGATAGTGGTAGCAAGGACTATGGTGTGAACTTACCGAGCCTTTCTCCATGATGCGGTTGAGCATGACCACACCCCGGCTCTTCTGCTCCCACACCATCTCCCAGAAGTGCCCACATGTGTTTGGCAAAGGACCCTGCAAACATACAAGATACACACTGTACAACATGCAGTCAGCCAGTGACAGTGTTTGCAGGTTTGGGCAGAATGGCTGCCAAGGCAGCTTGTCCTGTGGTCAGTCACCCAGACCCACAACCCAGCATGTGGTGAAAGATCACCTTTGCACCTCAGTGCAGGCTGCCTCTTGGTCTGGGCTGGTGGCCCTACTGGGCTCTTTGCCTAAGAGCCAACAGGTACAGGACAAAGCTCCTACATGGGTGAGAGGTGGCATGGGGCAGGGCCCCCACTGTGATCTGGTGGTTGCAGACTCTGTTTTAACTTTAGGCAAGTCATTCCACCTCTCTATGCCTGCTTCCCTGTAGGCCAGCTTGATTCAGAGCAGCACTTGCTCACAGGCTGTCCAAACAACACTAGTGCTATGGGTGAAGGACTCGGCACAGCACCCAGAACAGAGCGAGTGCCCAGTACAGAGTGTGCACTGGTGAGTCTAAGAATGGGCAGCCTTGAGAGCTGGACCAAGAAACATGGGAGATGTGACCCACAAATGGTCTCAGAGGTGGCCCAAGGGATCGGAAGACCTGGGCATGGCTGGTGCCTGCTGAGCACCGAACCTGCCTAGTGATGGTGGATGATGATAGATGAATGGCAAGTTCTGGGAGTTCCCTTTAGCCTGCGGGACACTACAGGAAAGTTATCCACACCAGGGCTGGTCATATCTTTGGGCCAGAACCTCTTCTAGAACAGTCTCCATTCTCACTGATTTTGACCCAAGCCATTGCCCTGTTAAGTCTCAGCCCACTCTCCTTCCCTGTGCCAGCACTTGGTATCTTCTCATTCTTTCCCTGAGCACTCTGTCTTCAAGTGTGAGGTAAGCAAGGGCTCTGACAACAGCGTGGCAGGTGGATGCCCAGGGTATGTGATGGTCACCTATGTCCTTCATCCTCTGCACTGCACAGGGTCCACACCCTTAGCCCCACCATGGGTATAGCTGTCTGCATCTCGCAACTCACCACACATGCTCCTGTCCCCAAACACCACCCAGCTCTCAGTAGTTATCAGGACCCAAAAGGAAGGGGCCAGGCCTGGCTGTCCCTTTGCGATGGAGATGAAGGACAGTCCCACATCACCTGCTCTTTTGCACCTCCACCTTTTACGACAGGAGGCTACAGACTGTGGTTTCCATAAGGAACAGCACTGAACGGAACGGGGAGGGTTCTTAGTTTGTGGCTTGGAAAACATTTGAGTCTCCCTGTCAGAAACACTCCTGTGGGGTCAGACTATTTTAAGTCTCTCTGAAACCCCTAGGGCTGCAGAAGCCATCTATATGCACACGGTACCACCTTGCACAGCAAAATGTCACAGGTCCCACAGAGTTGCCAGGGCCTGGGGTTGGGGTAGGTTAGAGTAACACTCGAGTTTCTCTAAACAGGGCCTAAGTCTAGCCAGGCTGGCATGTGGAACTCACTATGTCTCCCCAACTGGCCTCGAACATGTGGGAATTCTCCTGCCTCAGCCTCTCAGGTGCTGGGATCACAGGTATAAACCACAGCACCTGGGTCTAATAGATGTTTTCTGTTGTTAGCAGTGGGTGTTTTTGGGAAACACTGAGGGCTGGACCCAGGGTCTTACATGCCAGGCTCTACCACCAAGTCCCAACCCCAGCCCCTCAGAGAAAAAAAATGCTAAATGATCATTTGACTAGGGCATCACATACCCTAACCCTAACCCATACCAAGTCTTTCTGACCTCAGCTACAGATGAATGGCTGAAGCCAAGAATGCTGATGTCTCTACCCGGATTCTCAGGAAGTTACTGGTGCTTCAACCTCTCAGCAGTAGGCCCCACCTTCGTCAGGAATCTCAGGCAGCCGCCCACTCAAACACAGATGTGCTGGGAGGACCCTCCCTGGCTGAGGTCTGGGAAGGTTGGCCCTAGATCCACAGGACTGAAGACAGCCCACTGAAGCTACACATGATGACTGGCAGGGGTGGAAGGTTGGAGGGGGAGAGGGACACATGTGGGATGCTTCTGGTCATACAAACTGGCTGTGATGGATGAGTGCTAGCTCTGAACTTCTGACTTCACTGGGATTTGATTTCCAAACAGCAAACAGAGCTGTCATGCTCAAACACCCTACAGCTTGGGCTATGTGACAAGGAGTGACAAAGGAGACTAGGATAAACAGCACATGTCCGTTTAAACCAATCTGCTGGTAACAGGCTAAGACTGGAGAAACAATTGAGACTAAGCTTTTGTCCTCTTTGCAGATCGTCTTCTGGTCACACACCATGAAGTGTGTTACATGGTGTCCATCACACTTTCTCAGAAGGAAGTCCAGAGCTGTGGGACTTCTTCTAAGAGATGTCATATCCTCAGATGAGGCCCAGAGGAACACTGAATGGCACTTGGGACAGAGGTGCCTGGCTGACTGCTAGCCATCTTAATTGCTGCCAGAAGCACCCAATGCCAAGGTCCACACCTCCATGGTCACATGAACTAAGGTCTTCTCCTGCCCATCAGGAGACTACTGGCAGCTCAGTGTGTCACCTAACAGTGCCCAGGGAAGATGCTGTGACCACACTGAGTCTGAGGGACACGCTTCCTATCTTGCTGCTTTTTAGTTGGTGAGAAGCCTGAACTTCTCAAGAACATGATGATCTTATCTGATGTGAGCACAACAGCACTCTCAAACTTTCCAGAAAAAAAAAAAAAAGTCCAGACAGCCTGTTACCTGGGTGAGAATATAGCTCCTCTGGGCTTCCTCCATTTTTATCAAACTGGCATTGATGTAGTCATTATCCTCCTGGTGCAATTTAATCCGACTGTGATCAACTGAAAGACAAAAGCAGAGCTGGGTTAGTCCTGGGGTCCAAGTGCCTACGTTCTGAAGGAAAGCAGAGAGGGACCCACAGCCTGAAGAGCATGCACAGAGGCAGGGGCCTCACTATTCAGGTGACACTAGTTATCTGTGGGGTGACTGGCATTCTCAGGACAGTTGAGTACCAGAAAGGTCACATTTCATAGCAACAGCCAGCAACTCCAGACCACACCCTCCCTGGGAAGGCAGGTCCTAGGTCCTTTCAAGGGACAAGCATCACCCTCCCCCATCCACAGACCACAGAAGTCAAAGGATCCACTTCCTGATGCCTAACACAGGTTCCCAGAGTAACATGGAGGCTGTAAAAGGAAGCAATTCACCAAGAGCTGCCCCAGCTCCCTGTGACGCACTGAGGTGTCTCCGGTAGGGCTGATGATGACTTGGCCCAGGTCTCAAGCACTACAGAGAGAGTATCCACTACGGCGCAGCAGCAAGCCATGTGCAATGAAGTGATTCAAGATCGTTTAGACATTATGACCAGAGACACTAAGAAGGGGATTTAAAAGGATAGCGATGGCACACACCTTTAATCCCAGCACCCAGGAGTTCAAGGCCAGCCTGATCTACATAGTGAGTTCCAGGACAGTCAGAGTTGCATAGACACAGTCCCTACATCTCAAGGGAGGGGAGCAATTTAAAGAAGTAAGAACCCTCTCACACAGATGTAATCTAGTAACAAACTCACTAGGGAAGCTCTGCCACAGGCTCCTGACCAAGCCCCATGCTTTTGTTTCTGTTTCCCTCACTACCTTGTCATAAGAGGAGGGGCTCCCAGGGGCCACCATTCTGTCCCTGCAGCTGTCACAGGTGGGAGCCTGCTCTTTCTGATATAACACAGCAGAAACCAGTCAGGATGAATCACATCTTTCACCGGAACCCAGAGGAGCAGCCCTGAGACCAGCAGCCTGCGGTTTCTGTTCCAAAGACTCTCCAGCTGTACCTGCCATTTCCCATTGTGGAGGTCAGGAGATTACTGGGTTACTTTCAAGTGGATCAAAAAGAAAAAAATGAGTAGGTAGGTGGAAAGACAGATTGATTGACTGAGCCCACCAGGCCTGGTAAACACTCACCTATAATCCCAACACTAGGGAGGAAGACAGGAGGATCATGTGTTCAAGGCTAGCTTTGGGGGTACAGAAAGCTTGAGTCTGGCCTGAGCTGCATGAGTCTACTTCTCAAAAAACAAACAACAAAACCCTTGTGTGAGTGGCACTGGTGACCTCAAGGGCTCTAACAGCACCAGCTGGCCCTGGGCAAACTCATCTTGTTAACTTCCTTGCTGAACACAAGTAGTTCAAAGAGGGCTGTGGGGGTGTCCAGAGGCTGCACACACAATGCCCAGCTCCATAGCCATGGGCACCAGCTGCACTCTAGCCTGGAAAGGTCTCCTTTCATCTTGAACCATCTTTCCTGCCCCCATAACCTGAACACAAAGTTCCTTTTCTACTAGAGCGTGCAGAGAAAAGGAGACACGAGAATACGACTGGGGTGCAATGCTGAGAATGACCCCACATGCAGCAAGGGGACAGTCTCATACAGTCACATCGCTACCCTTAAGTTCCAGCTAGGACTCCAGAACAAGATCAGCACGGGTTTTTCACTATGTCACTTTGTTTTCATAAGCGTATCTGATGTCCCTCAGCTAAGAAATCTAAAACAGACCATGCTGGGGTAAGGGTAGTGACCCTCTTCCTAAGGACCTACATGTGCACTTCAAACGGCCCATCTTTACTAAATGCACCCCTGAGGGGCACTAGGCTTAGTGGCTTACATTGTGCTTCACCTCCACACACTCCTGCAAAGTAGGTGTGACTCCCATGTTACCGACGACCAGAGTCACCAGGGTGGCAGGCAAAGAGGCATATTTGTTGTTTCAACTCTGGACGCACTTTATGTCTCCCCAGGAACTTGATCAATAGCCATGTAGATCTGAGTAGCCATAATCCTTATTGAGGAATAATGTCTACAGACTTCAACAAGAGGGGTCAATAACCCTGGGTGCTAAGGGCAGACTCAGACCTTGGAGCCCAGTCCTAAGCAGTGAAGCCAAGGGCCAGCTGGATCTACACATCTGGTGGAGTGGAGTAGTGTGAGCATCACTGTGGCTCCTAACCGGGCTGACAGCCAATGGCATAGCTGCTGAGTCACCTACAAGAGGCTGTACACTAAGCCCAAGCCACTCACTTCAGGGAGGAAAATGACTCACCGAAACATAGAGCTAAAAAGAAGGGCTCTGAACCACCAAAATTTCCAGAAACTGGAGCCCCAGTGTCTGCAACAGTGAAAGCGAGCTATGATACTGCATCTCTGGTGCTTATCACAGGAGACAATGAGGTCACAACCTCTGCCCCACCCTGGACAACGGCAGCCTGTAACTGGGAAGTGTGCATGGGGCAGCAGGAACAGCGGGTACTTACAGGGGCTGACATCCCGGTACCTGTTCCGGTTTTTGTTCTTAGGAAGTTTCGCCACTCTGCATGGGAAGTCACTGGCTTCATGTCGAATATCCTACAAAAAAGGAAGAAGAGTTCTCTTTTGGAATCTACACCAGGAATTTATCCAGACAGTTAACGGAGCACCAGAGATGAGCCAGGCACTGAGGGCAGAGCAGACAGCAAAGAGGCCTGGGCAGTGTGGGCAGGACAAGCTGATAATCGCCAGGTATATACTAGGTTACGGGAGCAGAGCACGCTGAGCAGGCCCAGGCCTGGCTGGGAGGCAGAAGGAAGGAGAGTAGGACTGAGGAAGGCCTGCTAGCAGAGGCACAGGACTTATGTCAGGAACAGTGAGTGGGCATCAGGGAAGAGGGGCAGATGGATGTGGTGGGCAGGCTGGATCTTGAAGTGCTGGAACGTCAGGCTTGGGAGTTCCAACTGGAACCTTCTGGAAAGGAACACGTCAATAAACACTCCACCATCCAATTGCTGTCTTTGGAGGCAAACACGCCCCTGCATGAACAGAAGCAGCTTCCTCCTGCTCAGCGGACCACACAGGCCCACCCTGCTCTTGCTGGGATGCTGCCAGTCTCAGGGAGCAGTCTGGGCAATCTGCTTGTTCATTAGCAATTGTAAGCGCTTGTGCAGTGTGAATGCGCTACTACCGTGAAACTGAAAGTCTATAAACGGTTTTAACTCTTGCCTTTAGGGCTGGCCGACTTCACCACAGTGAGAGGGGCTAGGAGAAGAAGCCATGGCGACAGCAGTCTACAAGGTTCAGCAGTGAGAAATCCCACACTCCCCCAGGGACATGCAGGGTGTGGACAGCTGTCACCTTGGAAGGAAGGGCGAGACTCCTAGTTGGAGGGAGGTGGACAAGGCCCCCTCTGAGCAGGGCTAGATGCCACTACTTGCCTTCCCTCTGCTGCTGTGCCAGCTCTTACCTCTGCAGAAATCAAAGGATGACTTTCTGGAAGAGTCAATCAGGTCTCCAGACTAGCTAAAGTGGCACAGTGCAAAGAGAAAGACCCTCCAAGGCACGAGTGAGATGTACATGCCCAAGCTCAGCCCCTGCCTTCTTTCAGATGCTCCCAGGGGGTGCAGCTCCACTTTCTTTCCAGGTGGGAGGCCTTCAGATGACCTAAGCAGACAGCAGGAAGCACTGAAGGATCCCAGCATCCGGACATGCCTGTTTGCTCATTGCTCCATCTACCTGTCTGTGGGCCTCCACTCTCCCTGATGGCAGATCAAACAGGAAAGCAAGGCCAGGGAAAGAGCCCTTCAGAGGACACAAACTGCAGAGTACAGAAAGCCTAATAAATACTACTGACACACTCAAACGGTAGGATCTCATATTCAGCAATTAAGAACAGGATGCTATGTCACACCAAACAATGTCTTTTTTTTTCCATTCATTGATTTAGCTCATAAATAAAGTCATGCACAATTATGATACATAATACAGTATGTTCACAATGGCATGGCTAAATTAAACCAATTAACACAACAATTGTCTTTTGTAATGTAAAACAAAGAAGCAAAAATGACAAGCTCAGCTGAAAAGATAAAGAACTACTCCCATCCCCCTACAGCCACTCCAAAGGAAAGCCAAAGATAGTAGCCACACCTCCTTTTCCAACAGGTTTTCCACCCCACCAAGAAATAAACCAAGAAAAGAGGGGAAAAGAAACAAAGTGGAAAATGATGGCAAAGGGAATTTCCATGGAAACTGAAGGCTGACAGACTCTTGCCAGTGTGACCAAGACAGCAGTGTCAGCAGCTTGCCTTCTCCAGCACACTAACTGTGACACATCAGTCTACCGGAGGAAATAAGACCTGAATCCAGCCAACAGGGGTTCCAATGAGACGTAGGCACAGGCCTTTAGAGTCTAGATGACAGCCATGTATGGAAGGCCTGCAGATCCACAGAGGTCTGCAAGTGGATGACTACATTAAAACCTGGAACTGAAAGAGTCTGAACCGCTCACAAAGCTAGTATTAAAACCACAGTAGGAGGCCGCTCGCTCCTTTCCATTGTGCTGAGCCTGCTCACCCTCCCGAACTGAAGAAATTTATGGACAAGAAGTTATCGTTGAAGTTAAATGGTGGCAGACATGTACAAGGAATACATAAAGGAATTCATAAAGGGCTTTGATCCCTTTATGAATCTTGTGATTGATGAGTGTGTGGAGATAGATGGCAACTAGTGGGCCACAGAATAACATCGGCATGGTGGCCATACGAGGAAACAGCAGCATCATGTTAGAAGCCTTGGAAAGAGTCTAAACAATGGCTGCTCAGCAGAGGAGTTCACATCCTTCCCCAAAGGACTGCTTGACTGGGGTGTATAATTGGGTCATGTACATTTTCATAAGAAACTCTTTGCTAAATAAACCTTTGTGATACTCAGAAAAACAAAACAAAACATGGTGACAGGGCACAAGAGGGCCCAGTGCCAGGCATGGGGTCCGTGCACACCTGTAATCCCAGTACTTAAGAGACTGAGGTAAGACTGCTGTTGAGCTGAGAACAGCCTGAGCTATACAGTGAGATCATGTCTCAAAGAATCAGAAAGATACCAAGTGTGGAGGTGAACACCTTTAATCTCAGCACTCTGGGGGCAGAGGCAGGTGGGTGTTCATGCTACTTAGCAAAGTGTTCTGTAGAACATGGAACTACTTCTGTGTGGTTGGACTGGCTTTTAAGTCTGTCTACTTCCAAAAGAAATAGATATCTCAAATTAGGGCGTGTCATGCTGTGAATTGGAGGCCAGCCTGGTCTACATGAAACCTTGTCTCAAAACAAAACAAACAACAAAAAAATAAGCAGAACAACAGTTTTGTATTTTGGGAAGTCCATTTCCACCACTAGTCAAGCATCTCTTATATCCAATTAGTCAGAAATTCCAACTTGAATGAACAGTTGACATGCCCTAATTTAAGATATCTATTTCTTTTGGAAGTAGACAGACACAAAGCCAGTTCGACCATGCAGAAATACTTCCACGTTGCACAGAACACTTTGCTAAGTGGAACAGCCACACTGGCTTTAACCTATTTGCTCTAGTCCCCCACAGTGAATGTCTGCTTCTGACTCCATGGTGAAAATGCTTACTTGCTTATAATTATCTGCCATGGGGAAGAGCAGGGAAGCCTTCCTGAAAGCAGTCAGGAGTCTGTTAAAACAGAGTGAAGCCCTCACCTCTAATCGCAGACCCGAGCCAGGGCAGGCCCTCAACATAACCTGCTGACTGACTGAAAGGATGGTGCTAATCCCGTAAGTGTGCAGCTTCGGACTCCACACCAGTGTGCTGCTTCCCGGCACAGGGTGGAAACGTCCCCAAGGGAGTCTGCATCCGAGAACACCCCCATCAGGCCCATCTTAACTGCTATAGAATGCATGCTCCTGGGATTTGGTTTGGTTTCTGCATCTGTCATACACAACAGCCTCCTGACAAGACAGGGCCAAATGAGTTCCTAACACAGGTATTAAAGCAGAGAAGGTGGGTGTGCCAGCACACCTGGAATCCCAGTGCTTGCAAGGCTGAGGCAGGAGGTTGGAGAGGTCAAAGGCTGCTTGGGTTGCCTCAAAAAGAAAAAAGAATGGGGAGGAGAGTAATTTTCTTCAGTGGTATAGCTACTGGCAAGATGCCCATTTGCCCATTCCAGTAAGTAACCCTTACCCAGGCTCATGCAAGCAACACTAACTCAGGGAACCACAAAAAACAAAACAAAACAAAACAACAACAACAACAACAACAACAAAAACAACCCTCCATGTGGTTATTTATATATTGTTCATGATCTAATAAAGCTTGCCTGGAGATCAGAATGCAAAGTTAGCCGCGGCCATCGAGGCCGGGCAGTGGTGGTACACACCTTTAATCCCAGCAGCCACACTAGTTAGCCACAGAGCCGGGTGGTGGTGGTGGTGGTGGTGGTGCACTCCTTTAACCCCAGCACTAGAGAGGTATGTATATAAGACAGGAGCAGGGCCTCAGAGCTGGCAATTAGTCTCCAGCCACGTGGAGGAGAGGACGGCCCTCACCAGAGAGGTAAGAGCTCTCTGGTGGCTCAGCTGCTTTGCGTCTCTGATCTCCAGGCAAGCTTTCTTAGATCATAAAAGGTATCACCACACCAAAACATGAAAGTAGGAGGGTCTTGTTGGGAAGCTGGATCAGAAGGCAGCACTGAGGGGTGAAAAGTATGTCAAGAAATTAAAAAACAAACAGACACAAATACCCACATTTAAGCAAGAAGGATTATTTATGAAGTGTCTTGACAGGTGTCATGTGTACAAAGGAGGGAACCCTCCAACAGCCCCTATAACCTATTAGAACTTCAGGGACTACAAAGTCCTTATCAATGGTCAATATAAGCCTTTCTCTGAATGGCTGTCTGATCTGAGGTGCTGGTGGAAGCTACCGATTCTCAGAAAATAGTCAGCTGAGAGACTGAATGAAGGGCAGAAATACCAGACAGTGTGACTGGCAGGCTAGCACTTCCTAGAACACAGGAGCAGCCATGACTGAGGAGCGCACAGAGATGGTGCCTGTGTCTGGTCAGCTCACCTACGATGGATATAAGTACCCAAGAGTAATGACAGAGGAGCACATTTTATTAACCGAGTCTCATTATAAATGAAACAGAAAATTTATGTTGAACAAAGTACATTCAAAACCCACAAATCACCAGAAGCTGTCTTCTGAATAGAAAACAATACTTCATATAGCCCACGCTAGCCCCAAACTCCCTTCAAAGCTGAGGATTACCTTGTACTATTCTTCCTAGTCTTCCCAGTCCTGGGACTATATATCAGCACACCTGGTTTATTGGGTAATGGGGATGGGGCCCAGCTCTCATGTCTCTCCACCCCCAGCCTGTTTCACTCTTCACACACAGAAGTTAACAACATAACATACAGCGAAGACTTAAGAAATGGGGTAGTTTAGTGGCACCTGCCTGGTATGCATGAGGCCCTGGGCTTGATTCCCAGCAACACACACACACACACACACACACACACACACACACACCCTTAATATATTTCTACTTTATTTATACATTCATGTAA